GCTGCTTCGGCCCCCTCAGCCGTCACCGCAGCCTCAGCCGCCGCCTCCTGGGCCCCTTCAGCCGGCACCGCAGCCGCCGCCGCTTCGGCCCCCTCAGCCGTCACCGCAGCCTCAGCCGCCGCCTCCTGGGCCCCTTCAGCCGGCACCGCAGCCGCCGCCGCTTCGGCCCCCTCAGCCGTCACCGCAGCCTCAGCCGCCGCCTCCTGGGCCCCCTCAGCCGGCACCGCAGCCGCCGCCGCCTCGGCCCCCTCAGCCAGAACCTCAGCCGCGGCTTCAGCCCCTTCGGCCGGTACCGCCGCCGATGCCGCCTCAGCCCCTTCAGCCGGCATTGCAGCCGCCGCCGCTTCAGCCCCCTCAGCCGGCACCACCGCCGCCTCAGCCCCCTCAGCCGGTACCGCCACTGCTGCCGCCTCAGCCCCCTCAGCCGGCACCGCAGCCGCCGACCCCCCAGCCCCCTCAGCCGGACCGCAGCCGCCGCCGCTTCAGCCGGTACCGCCGCCGATGCCGCCTCAGCCCCTTCAGCCGGCACCGCAGCCGCCGCCGCTTCAGTCCCCTCAGCCGGCACCGCAGCCGCCGCCGCTTCGATCCCCTCAGCCCGAACAGCCGCCTCAGCCGCCGCCTCCTGGGCCCTTTCAGCCGTCACCGCAGCCTCAGCCGCCGCCTCCTGGGCCCCTTCAGCCGGCACCGCAGCCGCCGCCGCTTCAGTCCTTTCAGCCGGCACCGCAGCCTCTACCGCCACCGCCGCCCTCCCAGCCCCCTCAGCCGGCACCGCAGCCGCCGCCGCTTCGAACCCCTCAGCCGGAACAGCCGCCTCAGCCGGCACCGCAGCCGCCGCCGCTTCAGCCGGTACCGCCGCCGATGCCACCTCAGCCCCTTCAGCCGGCACCGCAGCCGCCGCCGCTTCGGCCCCCTCAGCCGTCACCGCAGCCTCAGCCGCCGCCTCCTGGGCCCCTTCAGCCGGCACCGCAGCCGCCGCCGCTTCACCCCTTCAGCCGGAACAGCCGCCTCAGCCGGCACCGCAGCCGCCGCCGCCTCGGCCCCCTCAGCCAGAACCTCAGCCGCCGCTTCAGCCCCTTTGGCCGGTACCGCCGCCGATGCCGCCTCAGCC